CTGAGTCTACCAGGTTGATCTCAGTCCTCGGGGGAGGCTTTGCCCTGGAGGAGGTGGGAATGGGGGTGGGCTGGGGGGAAGGGGAGGGGGCAGGAGGGGGGAGAACAAGGGAATCCGTGGCTGATATGTAGAACTGAATGGTATTGTAAAATAAAATAAAAGGAAAACAAAAAACAAAAAAAAGATAGATGAAAAGGAGGTCCATGCCCCAGTGGGTGGTCCCCAAACCCATGCTCATACAGAAGCACTAATTAGACCAGAAAAAACTTAATAAACAACAAAAAGGGCATGAAGTTGAGTAACAAAGTGGAAGGTATTGTGGGATATTATTTTAACTATGTAAAGGTATTACATTTATGCTAAGGAATATTATTTTTACTATGTAAAAGTGTGTTACACTTGTTTATGCTGCATTTAATTATGAAGAGATGTGTTGCATTTGTTTCACCTTGCCTGCCTAAGGCACCTGATTGGTCTAATAAAAATGCTGAACAGTCAATAGCTACGCAGGAGAAGAATGGGCGGGGGCGGTGGACAGAGAATAAGTAGGAAGAGAAATCTAGGCTAGAAAAATAAGGAAGAAAGAGAGGAACAGACCGGGGCCAGAAGCCAGGCAGCTGCCAGCCAGCCATGGGGCCAGCAGGAAAGTAAGATACACAGAAGGAAAGGAAGGTTCAAAAGCCCCACAGCAAAACGTAAATGAAAAGAAACAGGATAATTTCAGTTACAAAAGCTAATGAAACAAGCATAAGAAAAGGTCAAGCATTCATAACTAATATTAAGTCTTTGTGGCATGATTTGGGAGTTGGTTAGTGGCCTAAAAGAAAGCCTGCTACAGGCATTAGAAGGGGATAATACCCGCTCCCTGCTCTCCCAGCCTGCTCGTTGCAGCCCCCGCCGTAGCCGCTGCTGCTCCCGCCGTCACCGCCTCCGAGAAGATGGCTGTGCCTCCCACATAGGCTGATCTTGGCAAGTCTGCCAGGGATGTCTTCACCAAGGGCTACAGCTTTGGCTTAATAAAACTTGATTTGAAAACGAAGTCTGAGAATGGATTGGAATTTACCAGCTCAGGCTCCGCCAACACAGAGACCACCAAAGTGAACGGCAGCCTGGAAACCAAGTACAGATGGACTGAGTACGGGCTGATGTTGACAGAGAAGTGGAACACAGACAACACCCTGGGTACCGAGATCACCGTGGAAGACCAGCTCGCGCGAGGACTGAAGCTGACCTTTGATTCATCCTTCTCGCCTAACACTGGGGGGAAAATTCTAAAATCAAGACAGGGTACAAGAGAGAACATATCAACCTGGGCTGTGATGTGGACTTTGACATCGCCGGGCCCTCGATCCGTGGCGCTCTGGTGCTTGGCTATGAGGGTTGGCTGGCTGGCTACCAGATGAATTTTGAGACCGCGAAGTCCCGAGTGACCCAGAGCAACTTTGCCGTTGGCTACAAGACAGACGAATTCCAGCTTCATACTAATGTGAATGATGGGACAGAGTTTGGTGGCTCCATTTATCAGAAGGTGAACAAGAAGTTGGAGACCGCTGTTAATCTCGCCTGGACAGCAGGAAACAGTAACACTCGCTTAGGAATAGCAGCCAAGTATCAGGTCGACCCTGATGCCTGCTTTTCGGCCAAAGTGAACAACTCTAGCCTGATCGGCTTAGGGTACACTCAGACCCTAAAGCCAGGTATCAAACTGACCCTGTCGGCTCTGCTGGATGGCAAGAACGTCAAAGCGGGTGGCCACAAGCTTGGTCTAGGACTGGAATTTCAAGCATAAATGAATATTGTACAATCGTTTATTTTAAACTATTTTGCAGTATAGCTACCTTCAGAATTTAGTGTACCTTTTAATGTTGTATGTTGGGGATGCGAGAATTGATAAATACCACGTTAGATCTCCAGGCTAAGGATGACTTGGCTTTAAGGCGTTTACCATTTCAGAGGTACACCAAAAACCCCATTCCTGAAAGGGTCCTTTTAGCTGTAGACGTGGGTTGGGGAGGAGCCCCTCTAAAGATGTCAGGCCCCAGGTGGAAGCTGGGGATGTACGGGTCCTTTGTCAATCTGTAGAGTCCACAGATGACATTGTGACTTCCTGAGCATTGGTGTCCTGATCCTAGCTGCTGAGAAGCATGCACACACCTGTGTGAAAGGGACTGTTTTAGACAGATCTCCGTGCCCTCTTCCCATCCTAGCCCATCAGTTACCTGTTTTACACCAAAAGTACCCTTCTGGTTAGCTATTTCTTTTGTGCCATTTTAGGGTGGAGAGGGTGGGCATGAT